ACAGGCAAAGAGGGAACGAAAGTGGCAGTAATCAAGATACAGAACAATGAGATCTTGGGTGAAATTTTTAGCTCTCTAGGTAAAACCTAGAGAGGATTGTGAGGATTAATCAGATATGTTTGGGAATAGTGCTTTGAACATGAAAAACATACTCCTGTTACTTGTTATCAGTAGGAACAGAAAAGGAAATGGGGAAATGAGCTATCTTTTAATATATGATAGCTAGTAGTTCAGCCAAGGCTCTGATGAAAGCTTACATGTAAAACTGTTGTTTTTGATAAATCAGCAATGCAATTTAAGAATTCTATTTTCATTTTAAAAATATAATTTTCATTAGGGTAACTTCTGTAAAGGAGCAGAATTTCACCGTGGTCAGTTCAAATGAATGTACTTACTATCTCAGAAATGAGAGGAATGTGAATCCTTTCTTAAGTGCTAATTTGGACATCCTTCCGTTGATTTATTGTGCTACCTAGATGGACTTTGAAAATTTAAGTTATTATGAAAGTTTGCTTTGATAACGGTGAGGTTTTCTACTATCTGTCATACGAGTATGGCAGTAGGAAATAGTTACAATGATTTACTTTGCCCTTTGGATATGAAGAAGAAAGTTTTCAAAAAACACAAGATGAACATGGAATCTGTTTTGCCCATTTTAGACATTAAAATAAAATTTAATATAAAGTAAGGTAGTTTTTGCAAAATAATTGCTACTGCTTTATGTTAAAACTTTTCTTCTGACACATATACAAGTTGCACAGAGCAGCTATACCCATTCACAAAGTGGTGATATTAGAAAAAGAAGAAAAGAAAGTATATATATCAAAAGAAAGGGAGTTAACAAGTCTTGTTTCATTTTCCACCAACCATGTGGAAAAAGCAGGGAGGATTTTCTGTTTCTGCCATACAGACCTATTGTGCAGGGTATTTTGTCCTGGGACAGTGGGAGGGTTAGTAGGATGATTGTGACTTTCTGTTTATGTCAGCCTGCCTGACTTGGAGAAGCGTTCCTAACTTTTGCACAATGCTGTGACTTACCTCTTAATTTGACCTTTATGGTTCATTTTGTGCTGAAACAGTTCATAAAATAAGAACTATTGAAAGTCTGCTGCTGAGACTGCTCTTGGCAATGTGTACCTCTATGGTGGGAATTTTATCAGAAATGAAGATACAAAGCCAAGTTCTGACAACTTAACTTATTTGGATAGCTGCATTGACTTTGGAAGGAGGGGATAGCTTATGTGAGTAAAATGAGCAAGATGAACTTAGCACAAGAACATTTACCTGAAAGGAGAAGGGAGATTTAAAGCCTGAATAAATATGTACCCAAATGATGAGAACTATCTTTCCATTTTGTGCTTTATCAAACTAAACAATTGAGGAAGTTACATAGCTCTGATAAGAAAGGTCAAATTTCAACAAGAATAATTCTAGGATATGTAAAACAGCATTTTTATTCAACATAAAAGCTTAAAGAAGAAAAAGTGATAATAGCATAATCATATATCTCTACAGAAATAACAAAATAAATACACAAAAGAAGATAAATTCATAGAGTTCTCCCCTAAAATCTTCGAAGGCCATGGGTAGTCATAGCACTGAGAAAGTTAATTAAAGAATGAAATCTGTTTTTCTTTAATACCTAAAGAAATGTTTCTATATTCTTCTAAATAAACTTCATCTAACCAAGGTGTTGAATATCAGTAGTACAGAAAGATTCATGTGGTGCTCAGTTATGAATGTAAATGAAATACTGGGGAAAAAATGCACTATGAAATCATTTGAATTGTACTCCTTAGATCAGCAGAAAGTCTTCTAGCTTTTAAATGCATTTTTTTCCTGGTTTATACTACACACACACACACACACACAACTTTATATACTATCTCATATAAATACTAGTAGAATATATTGTACTATGTGGTATACTATATATATGTGGAATTGTATATTATATATACTTTATAGTGTATATATACTCTCTATATATTACCTATATAATACTGATAATATTAAGTATGGATTATTATTTCCTAGTTACTATTTTGTATAAGTTTTGGCAAGTTTTAATTGTTTTTGCCAGAAAGCATTTACCTAGCTATTTCTTCTGTCGATAGAATTGAGAAAATGTTTTTTTGGAGTTTCTTGTTTTTATTGGCATAGAGCTTTCTAAGACAATGTCACCTTTTTTTTCTTTGATTGTTTGTTTGTTTTTAATGCAGTCCCCAGTTAAGAGTGATCTTGGGGCTCATATCCTCTCAGGTGAACTTATTAAAGATGGAACATACTCCTAGTGCTAGTTACCTTTTAGAAGCTGTGGAAGGAGAATTAATTTTTCTGAGAGAACAGCAGCTATGTTGAAGAGTACACATGCAAATACTGTTGTTAGCTGGTGTTCAACTTAAAACATTGATATGTTATTTCACAGCATTTTTTAAAATCTCTTTGGGTTAGTTTGGATACTGTCACTTGGACTGAAAAATGATTGAATGACTGTGAATGAAAGATTCTGAGAAATAGTTCTGTCTCTCTTGTTGAGTGCATGATGTGGTGCCTGCAATAAATATAGCTCCTGTCCAGACCTTGCAAGTCTCTCAAAGAGTTCTATTGGGACAACTGATGTGGGAATTAGATCCTCAGACCCTTTTTTCCTGACTGATATGTCAAGCATGGAACTTGCTATGCTTTCTGGATGGCTGCATTAAGCTGACTTGCAGAAAAATAGAGAATAGTTGTGCAGTTGCTGGAACAGAGAATTTTTCTATCTTGATCATATTTGATTAAGAAGAGTGTGAACCAATTTAAAAGGAAAGATTTAATAGATTTTTAATTAGAAAATTAAAACTTATTTTTAGATTGTAATTGCAGTTGCCCAAGCACAATAGTCAGTGAAAGATGAATAGAATTTATCTGGGAAAATACAAAATAAAAGAAATGTGATCATTTCTAGGAGAAAAACCTCAGCTCACTCTTATAAAATCTCTGGCAAGTGGGCCGTTTTTTTTAATTTAGGAAGATTATTTTCTTTGTATAACAGAACGTGTGTGGAGAGACTTCTCTTGCTATTTCATGTATGTTTGACCTCTTCCCCCGTTCTTCCAAAAATCAGAAAAATTCTTTTTTAGGGTTAGTTTCAGACACCTCTTTCATGTAGTTGCTCAGCTCAGATTGCCTCTTTCGTGGTTATTGACTTCGTTACCATATGATGCAGTGATTTATATAGACAGTTGTGAGACTACTGGAAAGTATATTGATATGTAAGACACCAAGTAAAATAGAAATTGCTATCAATCATTAAACTCTCTACTTGTCCTAATCAGAAGACTCTGCATCTAACTCAGTGATTTTTAATTAGAGTTCTGATTTTTTTTCTTAATGTATTGATTTACTACATTTCTTTTATTACGGTTTTTGTTTCTTTTTTCCATAGGCAACAAAGTTGAAATCATTCACTATATTTGAGATCACACAGCAGTAAAGCTGTAGAGGACTGTTTATCAAATAAATATTTGCTGTGACTGACCATGAGACAAAGGAAATTCGATTAGTTCCAGCTTGACAAGTAAAGTCAAAATATTTCTGATTAATCAAAATAAGCTCTTATATTGTGACCACACAGAAAGTGTCAGGTGTTTTCACTTAAGAAGGGATTATAAAATGACCGACACTGGGAGAAGTGATTCTTACTACAGCGCAAACTCTGACAACCCCTCCCCATGAAAAGCATTCCTCCTTGAAATTGAATTTTACTGGTGTGAAATTCCTCCTGTTTATAACTACTGCAAACTGTTAAATTTTTTTTTTTGAATTCTTTGCTGTCATATTTTCTCCTTCCAGGTCACTTAATTTATTAAATATACCTTTTAGAGTCTGTTTTTAGATGAGGAATTTCTTTAACTCTTACACTTCTATATTTGTTGATTATAATTAAAAAATCAGTAAGACCGGGTTCTGATGTTTGTAATTTTAAGTATTTAATGAATTGCTGATGTCCAACAGATTACTCACAGTCCTATTCTTATTCTTCTCTCTTTGCTTGCCTCCTTTTCCTCCAGATTTTGCCACTGAAATAAATGTGCAGCCATTAAGTATGCCTGTTTTCTTCGCTAATGAATCTGCTACTCATTACTGGTCCATCATTTACTCCAGGGTTATGGTCATTATGCACATTTGGCCACTATGCACTTGACTGCTGTATTTAAAGACAAAACTGAGTTACATTTATTTTTGTTGATAAGATGTTGTAGAAGGTGGAGAGGATGGTTTAGTGCATGATGTAATCTAAGTTAATCTGAGTTTAAGGGTTTTATGCAGTGGTTGCTTACTGAAACGACTGTCTTATTATTTTGCAAGTAGACATTTATAACTTGAAAAAAACAAAATGGATGAGTTAAGAGACCCATGTGTTGCTGAATTTTTGCACAATCCTGTTAGACAAAAGTTGCCCTAGAGCTGTTATAGCTGTCAGCGGTTAGAATGTCTTAGAGGTTTGCAAAAGTTGGCATTTCAATAGCAACATTTTTCCTGTGACATGATTTCAGAAAAACATTTTTCTTTGACTTTTCCCTTTATCTTGATATTGTCACTGCTCTGACAGCTCCTTTCCTCATTGGCAACTATGCCAGGGGAGATTTAGCAACACTGTTGGGAGTGAGCATGTTCCATAGATAACTCAGGTTTCAAGGACAACAAAAAGTGACTTCAAATAGTCCTTGCAAATAATTCCTTCAGAAATACACTACCTAACAGCAATCAAAGTTTAGGTTAAAGAGTATATGTTTTTGTGTGTTTGTGTTTATTTGCTGATTTTCACAGTGCTTGGTGAGAGGGTACAGTTTGTTCTCATTTTCTTTGTGCCAGTAGCTCTCAAACAGCTAGAGGAAGTTATTAATGTGCATTCAGAAAAGCTATTAGCAGTTTTGTTATTGCTTTTTTAATTACAGTTCATTTTATGTAAATCAGTTTTCTATATTTTCATTTTCTCTCTATTCTTTGTCTAGATTCCACCAAGAAAATTAAGGATGTCTTGGAAGAATTCCATGGCAGTGGAGTGCTAGCAAAATATAATCCTGAAGGGGTAATTATTCTTCTTTCTTCAATGGTCAAAAATAGTGGGAAAAATATTTACAAGTGTTGTAGCAAATCTAAGCATTTAGAAATAGAAGATTATTTATAAATCAGCTATTTGGGGTGATTAGGACTGTTTGGAAAATAAAAATATGTATATTTTGAAGAACTAAAAGTATCACAGAATCACAGAATGGTTGAGGTTGGAAGGGACCTCTGGAGGTCATCTAGTCCAACCTCCCTGCTCATGCAGGGCCCTCTAGAGCACGTTGCACAAGATCGCATCCAGGCAAGTTTTGAATATCTCCAGGGAAGGAGACTCCACTACCTCTCTGGGCAACCTGGTCACCCTCACAGTGAAGAATTTTTTCCTCACGTTCAGGTGGAACTTCCTGTGTTGCAGTTTGTGCTCGTTGCCTCTTGTCCTGTCGCTGGGCACCACGGAGAAGAGTCTGGCCCCCATCCTCTTGACACTCCCCCTTCAGATATTATACACATCAGATCGCCTCTCAGTCTTCTCCAGGCTGAACAGGCCCAGCTCTCGCAGCCTTTCCTCATAGGAGAGGTGCTCCAGTCCCCTCAGCATCTTGGTAGCCCTCCGCTGGACTCTCTCCAGTAGCTCCATGTCTCTCTTGTACTGGGGAGCCCAGAACTGGACACAGTACTCCAGGGGAGGCCTCACCAGGGCTGAGGAGAGGGGCAGGATCACCTCCCTTGTCCTGCTGGCAACACTCTTCCTAATGCAGCCCAGGAGACCATTAGCCTTCTTGGCCACAAGGGCACGCTGCTGGCTCATGTTTAACTTGTTGTCCACCAGCACTCCCAGGTCCTTCTCGGCAGAGCTGCTTTCCAGCAGGTCAACCCTCAGCCTGTACTGCTGCATGGGGTTCTTCCTCCCCAGGTGCAGGATTCTTCCTCCCTGCACTTGCCTTTGTGGAACTTCATGAGGTTCCTCTCCGCCCACCTCTCCAGCCTGTCCAGGTCCCTCTGAATGGCAGCACAGCCCTCTGGTGTGTCAGCCACTCCTCTCCCGTTTAGTATCATCAGCAAACTTGCTGAGGGTGCACTCTGTCCCTTCATCCGGGTCACTGATGTGTGTGTTGAACAAGACTGGACCAAGTGCTGACCCCTGGGGGACACTGCTAGCTTATAAAGTTTATAAAATCATATCCTGTAGAACTGTTGAATAATTTGCACAGAAATACATTTTCTTTTTTAATATTAGAAAGAATGCTATGCTGAATTTAATGTACTTCCCAATTGCTTTAAAGATTGGAAACGTTAAGCACATTTTCCAATGTTAGAAAAGGACGATGTGTTCACTTAAGATTTCTTTTAAAATTCTGTTTGTCATATTTTTTCTTCTGCTATAGGGATCCCCTTTAATACAAACTTTCTTTCTCATGTTATGAAGCAAAGAATTTAGCAGAAGAGAAATCTGTATGTGTGAACTGTGGTTTCAGATTCATTACTAGAGCAAATATTCTATTTTGTCTGGTAGAAAAGGCTAGATTGTTGTCTTCTGATGCCTTCAATTGCAACTTGTATCTGGTTAGCACATCCATAAAGTGTGATTCAAAATGTAGCTCAGTAAAAACCTATTTCTATAACGTTCCTTACTATGCTTGCATTAAGTGGAATGTAGAACAGAAGACTGTACTAACCATTACGAAAATGACTTGATCTTACATTCAGGATGTAGGAGACAAGAACTGTTGTCAAGCCAGTTATAAACCACTGAAATGTTGTTTAACATTTTGAATTTAGTACCATGTAATATTGGTTGTTTTACTCAATTTCTCTTTTCATTTTTTTCCTCTACTTTCTGAGAAAATTATTTCATACCTCATTGAAGTAGCATGTGGTGTCTTATAAATCATCATTTTAAATCTCCATTATTGTACTTAAGCAGTAATCGTAGGCTATACAAACAAGATAGGAATGCTAGGATCACCTAATCTGTTCTCCAGTGTAACACATGCCGCAAGACTTCCCTTTAGTGATTCTGTTGGGATGCAGAGACATTTTTTAGAAAACTGTAAAATGTTAATTTACAACCTCAGTGTTTACTCTTTTTTTATTGTTTACTTTAAACTTCTGCAGCCTTCTTTGTGCTCCGAATGTACATTGTAAAATTGTCTTAACCATTTCTTAATTATTATTCACATTTTTCTCTTGAAATTCTTCACTTCTTTTTGCTTACCATACAAGTTTTCAGTTTTGTGAAATACAGACTTTTAAAGTACAAACTAACTGTGTATTTGTGAATATATTTAAATAACAGGTATTGTCGTACAGGTAATGCATATTATCAACATTTGTATATAAACAAATCAATATTCAAAGTTGTGAGAGTAAGCCCTTTTAACAGTCATCCCTCCGGTTTTGGGGTGTGTGGAGACTGGGTCATGGCGAAGTGAGCAGTATGGGCATCTGTGACAGCTGCTCTTACTGAAGCCAGGTGGACCTGGCAAAATCTGTGCCAAGCTGGAATTAGCAGACACAGTTGGTCCCAAGCAGAGTCTGTGTCTCCATACGAATGTCTTCATTTCGCAACCATTCGCATGTAGCATCCTACTGATGTCCTGAAACAGCTCAGGGGCATAGAGAGCAGTGCAGCACTCAAGCCAATAAGCGGGATGGGAGGATGGAAACGGAGGAGAGAAAGCAAAACAAACACCTTAGAGTGGCTCCACTGTCTTCAGCAGAGATCGGTGTATTCCCCACAGCTCAGGGTTGCCCATGTTGGACCCAGGCTGTTCCCAGCAGCTTTTGCACCGTGCTGCTTAGCACTCAAATTCCAGGGAGAGAAGCAAAAGGAAAATACAGCTAGTAGTGAAGCTAGTTTAGCTCAGGTTTCATGCCACAAGCTGCTGAACTGGAAACAGAGTAGGTGAAATAACTTTCTTCTGCAGCTGAGTGAATAATCCAAGGCAGACTGAACTGCCCTTGCACAGAGCATGGGTGTGTGTGTATTTTTGGCATTCATTCAGCCTGCTACCTGGATAAGCTCTTTACAAGATGATTTGAGAGCTGATTGTATCTGATCAAGATGAGGTCTCCCTGTGTTGGTTGTGCTATTTAACTAAGGTAATTACTACCTGAAAATTTAAAATAAAGCCTTACTGTGTTTTAATATGGGCAACATGAGAGATCCAAGATATAAAGCTCCAACTGAAATCAGTCATGATGCAGCTTTCCCCTTCCATGCATTATTGATAACATTTTAAACTGTTAAGCATTCAGTGTTTTGTTTTGTAGAAGATCCATTTCACCTCTTTATTTCCCAGATCATTATCTCATAAGCGCTCAAAATATTTTTCCAGTGTTGTCAATAATTTGCAAAAAGCTGTTGTCCGTTTTTAGACTAATAAACGTGAGACACGGAGCTCTGCTAGGAAATTTTGCTGTGTGGTATATTTATGTACTTTAGAAAAAGGCTTAAGAATTTCTTGTTTCAGGCTTCTCCATGCTTAAAGGGCTCAGGAATTTATACCCTTCTGTTGCTTCTATATTATGATTTTTTATCACAAGCCAATTTAATGGGAGAGAAATAGCAAAAGAAAAGCTATGGATATTCGAAGCTTGTTACCTGAAATCATCTGGCTTGTTTCTTCATTATCTTATACCTTGCTGAGTGAATGATTTTTGGGCTTAGTGGAAATGGTGAAGGTGATTATCAGAAGGTCATCCCGTACAGGGAGTTTATTTATGGGGCTGGCATTGTTGCTTTTACTCTCTGCTAGCTTTCAGTGTAAGGGAGATGACTAAAACTGCAAACACTAATGAACCTCTGCCCTCCTGCCTCCTTGTATGTCACTGTTAACATATTAAGACTGGATTTTACACCTCATGTAAGACTCATAGGTAAGTTAAGATCAGCCTACTGGAAAATATGATTTATAAACAATGTCTCAATCATTTGGGTTTTATCTAAATTAATTAATTTCAGCCATTTCATTTAGAGGAGAGTGCCGAATAGGCTAGCAAGGATTAAGAAAGTAGATTGAGCTAAAGACTGTATCTAGCCTGGGCAGTAGAAGCACATCACTGTGTACCTGCATTCCCAGACTCTTGATTGATCATCTGTTTTGGGAGATATGTTGGAGTGCATCATAATTTAGCCAGGGCATGAAAACTGAAGATGGAAAGTATATGGAGGGGTCTCAGCCCGACAAGCAGTTAGGGTGCAGCCCCAGTCTGCACCTCGAATTGGCCCTCCTGGGCCCTACAGTGTGGATGTGGATAAAAAGAATAAATGCACATGTGCACAAAGACTACGAAAACGAATGCTTCCAAAAAGGTTATTACAGTGACTGCATGATGCAAGGCACATTTCACGATCTGATCTGCCCACAGAGGCCAAGCCCCAACTTTGACAGAATGTTTGCAGTCATGTTGCAATTATCTGACTCCTTCAAATGATTTTTGTGTTTTTGGAAGTAGTGCAGATTCTTCTGAGAAGTTTTCTCTAGGGTCCTTCTGATTGCCATAGGCTTTAGTTTCTTTAACTTGACTCCATGGAAGTATGAAAGGTACCCCAGTAACTCCATTTTAGAAAAATCTGGTGCAATCAGTATAATTTGTACATAGTCTGCGACAGTATTTGTAAGTTTAAAGATAGTATCTCTTACTGTGAAGTATTTATAGCAGTTTGTGAATAATGTAGAAAGTTAGTACAGTGCCTTTATTTAAAAAAGTAGAAATTATTAGAAACTGAAGCAACATGTAGCAATGACTTTGAGGGCAGTGGTTATCATTATATTCATTTCTGATTAAATTGTTTCATTAATACTTTTCATGGCAACAAGTAATTTTTTTTAGTTTTCACAAGGATGAAAGATGCAAACATTGTATTTACTTTCTTTTCCTTGGATAGGAAGGATAGGACTTTCTTTTCCTTTTCATTGCATGGTTAAAAATAAATTGCTTACACTCTCTAATTAATCAAGACTAGAATGCTGACTAGAACCATTTTCTTGGTGTCTGTGCTAATTCAAGATAGTGAGATATTCTATGTTCTCTCTTAAACGTGTTTATCTGCATCACTAACCTTTTAACTAAAATAGTTCTATTATTAAAAACAGAGTTACTATACTGTATTGATGTATGTGTGTTCTTTCTTTCCTTGCATGCATTACAGAAACAAGATATACTTAATCAAGTAAGTAAACTTAATTTGATTTTTCTCTCCTTTTGTTATGTATAGAAGCAGTATTTTTTATTTTGTAGAGTTCCACTGAGATGTTTATGGAGAAATATTGCATATTGCCATCCTATTTAGAGACTGAAGCGCATTCTCTTTATGGTGGCAAACTGTTTTTCGCTAGGTGAATTTCATTTGGGTCATTGTAACAATTCATAATTTTGCTAACATATTAATAGAGAGCAATATGGGAAATAAGTTAGTTAAAAGTAATTAACTGAAAGGACAGACATCTGGGCAAAAATATTAAATACCACTTCTATAGCCGTATAATACCATTTATATGTACAAGGCTTTAAAATAACCCCCGGATTTTATAATTTGAATAAAGTTTATAGTGTGTTTAAAACACATTTTCTCTCATGCGATAGGGTTGACTTACAGCTGTTATAAGAGAGAGGGTTAAAGGGCTCATCATCCACTCAAGGCTCTACTCCTGGCTGTCTTAAATAGCCTGAAACCAAGTAAAAATATAATGAAAAAAGATGGGAAAGTCAAGAAGGAAAGAAGAACTAGTCAAATGAGCTAGTTCTTAAAGTGACTGAGTTATTCTTCCTTTGTAGCATAAAGGTGTTAAGAAGCCTTTGCTCTGCTCTTTGGGAAGAGGCAGCTAGAGGGTGAGAACAGTCACAAAGTCAAGAGACTTGAAAGGATTAGTTTTGTAGAAACCCCTCTCTTCCTCGTGTCAAAGGCCTGTTGAACTGTTGGAGGTTTGTTACTGTGAGCAGTAACTCCTTTCCTGCCTATAAAAGTTCTCTGTTTTCTTCAGGTAACCTATTGCAAAAGTAATGTTGGTTAAAGAGTGACTGCAGTGGGTCCTGAAAGAGAAGATATTCAGGTTAAAGCAGTGTTTCTAGGATCAGTCTTGGGACTAATCTGATTAGTAGTTTTGCTAATAATCTTGTAACGAAAAGTAGGTAATTACTAATAGAATGTGCTTGCTAACCCGATTTTGGGAATTGTTGCCAAAATGGAGAAGATTCTGAAAATCATACGGAAAAAGCTTGATAATCTTGTGGATTGTAGCAAATAAAAATGGAATGAAATGCACTGGTGTAGAGTACAGCATGGCATACCGTGGGACTAGTGGCACTGGCACAAAAAGAGCTGAGTGTGGTAGTTCATCACAAAATGATTACAAAGCATCATTGTAGTTTGATCATGAAGAAGAGAAATATATTATTGGGAAGTTATGATAGTGTTCCTGTAGCCATGGTGGTCTGAGAATGTAAAAGCAAGACAAGGCAGGACAAGAAAGGTAGCGTCTTTTAGACCCATTAACTTAAGTGGAAAACTAGTTAAACCTTCAAGCACACAGGAGTACTGGCTATGTGTGCCTGTTTCCCAGCTATGTCATTCCTTAACATTAGGTACTGGAGAGACCCTCTTTTTAGCAGTATGTGTCCCACATGCAAGAAATGTGAACTCAGAAAAGAACTAATTTACAGAAGGGTTAGTAGGATGAGGAGAATTATAGGAAATCTGTTATGTAGGAAGAGAAGCCTATCCCTCACTTGTAAGCAACTGAAGACTAAGTGAAGATATTGCATCTTTCTAGCCATATTAAATGGGAAATCCAGGAACAGGAAAACTGAGATATCTGTGAATACCTGCAGTGGAAAGCCCTATCCTTCAAAACTGGGCACACAGTCTTTTTTTGGCTTTCTGGGAAGAATTTCTAGGGAACAGCTTCCTGCATACCTAGAGAGTCAGGAAGCCTGCCAGGCTCGCAGCCTGGGCTGTGATCCTGCTCTCTGTGCAGTGTTGAGTGCGAGTGTTGAGGACACTGAGATGATTTTGTAAAATTATTCCAATACATCATTTTTTGCTGCATACTGTTCAATTTTGAACATTCTGGACCATTTTGGTCTCTCTGTCTCCTCTCCTCAGTCTATACTAACTAGTCTGCCTCTTACTCCTTATCTTCCTTCTCTTTCGATACTTTCCCCTCTTGGCCTTAATCTCTCATTTTTATCCTTTTCTTCCTATTCTGTTTTGTATTGCATATTACCTTATGTTTAAACTTTAGGGAGCCTAGTACTACTCTCACTTAGATGTTACCTGGTGTCATTATCATCATTTCCGAAAGACTACCTCGAGGACCTATTTCTAATTTGCGCTAGATATTATTTCAAGCTATTTTAAAGGAAGGAGAATATAAAACTTAAAACATAGAACTAATATGTTTCTTAATGCTACAACTTTTTAGAAAGAAAACTTTTCAAATAAACAAACAAAAAATGATGGAACATCACACTAGTGTCTAAGATATATTTTATTTTTAACATATTATTTTATTTGAAGAGTGACAGACTACTCCGATGCTCCTCTAACAGCATGAAAACACAGTATAAACATGATGCCAAATATGGATGGCACGGTGTTATAAAGTGTGAAAAATGTGATCCTCAGCTTTTTCATAGTAAAGTGAAATATCAGCTAATTTATCCTTTTTTAGAGTGAAATAAACACAAATAAATTCATTGAAAAAGGACACTTTCAGTATATTTCTTGATTTGTGTGACATTAATGAATGTTTAAAGTTGATGCATTTCAGCTCAAGTATACATGCAACAGTATGATGTTTATACATGATTAGGAGTTACAACAAGTTATTAATCATTTCTGAAAGATTTTATAATATTTAGCTAGCTAATTTTAAGTTTATTTTATTTGCCATAAAGTACGGGAAACAAAAAATGCAGTAAGATGCTATGATTTCTCTTTGTCCGTCCGATATCGAAGATTTTTCGTAGTAGTCTTACTCTGATAAGAATTACACTTTATTATTAAGATCTAATAGATATACCTAATATTCCTAATAATTAGCATAAAACGAAGGTCAGCTGTGGAGTATGCAGATGGTGCAGTCATGCTAGTCTAAGGTCTACAAAGTATATTGCATATTTAGAAAAAAAAAGTGATCACTGAAAAATACTTTAAGGAAGGAGACGTGTTTATTACATTGAAAGGCATAGCCATATTTACATAGCACTGTGCTTGTGATAGAAAAGCATGCGAGCGAACCCATTCATCGGGAAAAGAAAATAAGAACTATTTGCTTCCCCATTGCACATAATATGCACTCTGAAATCATTTTACTAATTAGTATTTTATAGGCTATGTTCCTATTTCCTTTCTAAGAGACAGGAAACAAGGATTTCTCCCTCTTTGATCTCTCACAAACAGGACGATGATGATGAAAGATGGTTGCAATTTCCCCTTCTATTTGCGTGTTCAAACTGTCTTTTGGAAGATGGGTTTCTAGAAACATGTCCTCATTTGATGGCTATTGAATTTAAACCACTTAAATTGAATATGGGGAAAAGTAGGTTAAAGTTCCAGTGCTTAAAGTTCCCAAGTGCTATTACAGATTGTCCTTGTTTTGAAGGGTTTGTTTTTTGTTGTTGTTGTTTTTTCCTCAGATTTTTTGTGTTGATAGGTCTTAAACATCTCATGACTGACTCTTGGAAAGCGACCAACCATACCATTGTTACAGAGTTACTAAATATTTCAGGGTTGTTTATGGCCGAATGTATTAGGAATATGTGTTGTGACATCAACACACCTTTTACTTGTCTTATTACTATTGTATTACCCTGTGCCTTTTGTCAGTCACTACATGTCTGAATGAATGCTATGAAAGTAACATCAGAGGAGAGCTTTTTGCCTAATGTGCATTTTTACTCGCTTTCTTTTTGACAAACAAAAACACATAAAGGCGTTTTCTTAAGAAAACAACATTTAATGGTAAAATTCTGTATTTCGTTTATAACAGTGAGAATTCTGAAGACACCAAATGGATACAGCATTGGTGCTATATTCCTTTTTTAATTTACATCCCACTTGTAGCAGTGGACGAACAAAGGACTATCCAGTGCTTTAAACAGTTCTACAGGTATTTGTGTTACCTGATCAGACACACAGCAGACCTAGTTTATTTTTCTCTAAAGGTTATTATCTAGAGATTGCAGACAGTTAGTAGACTCCTGAACAGCCTGATGTCTGACTTACATCTCTAAATGCATTTAATTTAATATAGGTTTACTCAGGCTGAATTAGTAAATTCTGCCTAAAGTACTTTACCCAGAATATTTAATTATGATGTTTTGTTATTTATTTTTCATTTTGCAGTACAATATATTATATTCCATTTTGGTTTTTTGATAGGTGGCTGCAGTTACAATTGATTCACCTGCGTGATGGCATGTCAATGATGTTTATCAAACTGTATAAATAAATAAAATAGAAAAAAAATACTCATAATCATAACTTATTGCAGTCATTGGCCATAAAGTGGAGGTGACTTGGAGTCCTCTTGTACAGGTACTACAGCTAGCATTGGTCTGTAAGTATATATCATTGGGCAGATGACGTTGCTGTCATGTCTTCTATCACTTTCTAAGCTAAGCTACACTTTCAAATTCTAGTGAGGCAAACCTGAACTTAGTTTAACTAACACAGCTTCACTTTTGTAACGGCTGTAAATGTACACATAT